AGCTGTCGGCTGTCTCCAAGCAGATGTAGGTGGGGGATTTCTAAACACAAAAGGTCCTATTACGGGGACATAACGACCTCCACGACTCTCATCTTTGAACTCAATCTTGGAGACCACGACAGTAATATGCCTATCAAATTTCATTAACTTCCATCCACACATACAAAAGATATCCTGCTCACAAGAAAAATTAACAAAATGCCCCCTGTAGCCACAACGAAACCCCCCACGAAGCTCAGTAACGAACTTAACCTTGGTCCCGACAATAGTAGGCACCACACCAAGAATTATAATCAACATTTTACAAATACTTGAGTTATTTTGCTAACAAGCCACAGACACAAAAGGTGAACTAACGTGACGCACGGACCCCCCACGAAGCCGAAACTTGTACTTGACTTTGGCCTCAAAAGCGGTAATATGCCTGCCAAAAATCATGGACGTCGAATCATGCCTTCCAGAGTTATATTGCAAAATCCGCAGTTCCCCACACTCCGGCGAGACAATTTCATAGTCCTTCTGACGAAGACAATGATATTACGACCTGATAACCGATGGAAAATGGAGGATTCTCACTGGTCGACGTCGCCCTGCTATATGATAATAAGTTTTAATTATGTGCATCGATAACTCAGCGTTTCCAAGGACAAGGTAATGGTAATACCATTGCGTTCCAGACGGTTCGTCCATACCACATCTCCCACAGAAGGAGTCCGAGGCTGTAGATGTCTGCACTCTTGTCGTAAAGCTGCCGATTCTTCACCTCTGGTGCTGCGTAGATCGCTGTGCCCGTCACTGTGCCGGTCACGTCCACTTCTCTCTTAGTCACACCGACGTCAGCCAGCTTCACAATGTCACCTGCAGTAACCTAAGGAGATGGGTACAGTACATACAACCTTACTACTGGAACCCGGTGGAGACATGTAACGTTACTGTTGATAACCTGTGAAGATTGACTAAGTACATGTAACGTTACTACTGATAACTTGGTAGTGTGGAAATTAGCTAAGCACACCTACATGGCCGTGAGTGTTGATAGCTTCCATTGTGGTTGTGTAGAGGCTGCAGTATTATTTGAAAGTAGTATAGCCGCATTGTGAACTTAAACAATCACACAAACGTGGCGTGACAACAGAATTACATACTGGTAGGAAATTGAAACTCTACTGCTGAAAAAATTACGGAGATAATTTTGCGGAAGTTAGTAGAGTTTGAATGTCCTATGAGTATTGTTTACCTGAATGCCTAACGTAACAAAATTATATGTTTGTTCAGAAAACTGACAGCACATTGATGAGCTTGAGGTCCCTGTGGATGTACCCTGCATCATGGATGGTCCTCAGGCCCTCACACAGCTGGACAGACTTGTCCTGGATGTACCGGAAAGCCTCTCGCTTCCTGATAGGGTCGTGTTCCCACCAAGTTGGGTTGTGTTCTCTACATAGGAACAGATTTCAACAAATCGTTCTTTAGTGAAGCAATAGATAGCTTTATTGCAAGTTATTGCCCGAAAAGAAGGCTAACTGCAAGCAGACGTTGACAGACAAGAGGGTTGGTATCACATTATATACTAAATGAAGGTCTACGCTCTACTAATCTAACTTTTTCTAATTAATCAGTAGTAACGCACGTATACGTGACAGACCTGTTCTTAGGTTTATGAACAAAAGACATTAGCAAGCAAGTTATCACTGGATTCTACATAATGAATAAGTCTTGCTACTGTTCTGATCCTTTTGGGCATCACCAAAGCCACTTGTACATGTCCACTATATATAGCTACATGTAGTAAGTAACTCTCATCCTTTTACAGCGTTCTCGTCCCTAAAGATACAATGCAATATTGGACAAACGCTACAAGTCTAACGTCATCGTCATCAAGGGCGGGGTGGTGGGGTCGTGTGACGTAGAGTGCTAGAATCAGAACCAAGAGGTCCTAGGTTCGAGTCCTGACATGCCACCGTTCTTGTGCCTTTGGGAAAGGCACTTAACACAACATTCCTCACTTAACTCAAGTGAAAGGTACTGTCCTGTATTTGTCCTTGCAGAGGTTGGTGGGGGTAGCGACAGAAAAAAAAATGGGGCATACTAGTATATGGAAAGGTAACGATCTTCCCCAGTGAATGCTGACCAACCTCTGCTCGTAGTCTAGAACTACTCTGCGTAGGTGCCGTCACCACGTGTTCTGAATTGTTGGAATAAGAAAAAGCAAAATGCCATAAATTGAAATTTTACCTTTGTCCCACGACTCTGTCCTCCAGTGTCCCTTCGCACAGTTCCATAACCAGCCCCAGTCTCAGACCGCCCCCCTCCCTCCTGCAGGCTGTGCCGTAGTACTCCACGATGTGTTCACCCCTCAGCTTCCTAGGGTAAGAAAAATAAACAGTACCTCCATGAGAAAAAAACATCGGTAAAACGATCATATATATCCTGAAGTCCCACGTCGTTTGGCACCCGTTTAGTCTTGTGAACACAAGTAGGTGTCAACTCATATCGTAACAATGAAAACATCATTACTTCGCAATGATTATGGACCATTACTTAGAATTTCAATTATAAGGACGAGTATTGGTACAGAATTCTATTCTACCTTAGGTTGTCTTCTTCTGCGAAGAAAGTTCCATGCGTTGTCCTTCGTGGTCAGAGCGTACGGCAGGACCCCGATCTTAAGCGCTGCCCGGACACGTGAACTGTCCCGCTGGACGTCTACCCGGTACACCTCCCCATACGACCCTCCACCGATCTTGTTCTGTGGGTCCTGCCAGCCGATGATGTTGTCCAAGTCAAACTCATACTCCCTCATTTCTGACAGGTCCACCATTGCCAGTCGGCCTAGCTGTAGGGTGATGTCGGATGCCTGCGGCTCGTACTTACTGACCAGATCTATCTGGTTCCTTGTCTCCGAGAAACGCTCTTCAACGAGGCGCTCTTCCACTTCTTTCACCCCCTGCAAATCCGATTCAAAAGCGCCGAGCAGCTGAAATGACTTGAGGAGATTATTCCTAGCTATCGCGAATACTTCTCCTTCTGTTGCCATGGCGGCAATAGCCATTTCAGACAGTCGCGATCGCTCTGTGTGCTCAAGGTCGCCCTTGAAGGCCGACATGATGCTGAGGTATGGTCCGTTTAGTCTGCGTACTGTTTGGTTGAGCCATTCAAACCAGGCGTTGGTCTGTCGTTTGCCTACAACATCCTCTACATTCAATTGGTGTCTCCGTCCTGTTACAGGCCTGATCTTTTCGTTGTGCTCATGGTTCACCCTCGCGACCATCGATTCGAGTTTAGCCCGAAACTGTGCATTGGCAACTCTTACCTTGTCCTTAAATGGTTGACACTTCTTCATCATATAGATTTCTATCGCCAAAGATAGCTCTGCTATAGCGTTGTCGTCCGTGGTAGCTTTGATGGGTACCGTAGAAAGATGTTTCCTCACTTCTTCCCCTCGCAAGAAGTCAGAGAAGACATCTGCTGCTTCTTCCGTGGCCGTTTTCAAGAATTTTCTCAGTTCTTGAAGGATGGGATCCACAGACTCGTCAAAATATGACAACGCAGATTGGGCTTCTGCGTACGCTTTGCGTTTCTCGCCCTCGTCGAGGTGTCCGAAGGCGTCATTCAGTTTCAGTCTGACGTATTTTAGCGCCTCTTCGAGAATGGCAACCATTCTCCTAGAGCAAGAGGAATACATGTACCAAGCATAAGGCCCCACCAATATAATTTGTTGGTTCACGGATTCGCCAGCTTCGTTTTCTTTTCAAATTTGCAAACAAAAAACATTTCAGGCTCTGAATCAACTCCAAAGTGCACTTTGGCCCTAACAGTTGAAGGAAGTCAATTCTCTTCAGATCTAGAGTTGTTGCACTTTTTCAATATGTCAAAGTAGTGGCAAAAGCCTGAAATTCATTGTTTGAATTACAAACCAGCCTGGTATGTTGGCTCCATGGCTCCATAGTATTTGGGGCTATCATATAATGCCCAGGCCTGCTTTTATTTTTTCGCCCTATCGCTTCATATTTTTCCAACAAAAATCCGAGAACCAACAAATAAAATTGGCATGAAAGTTCATCTGTGTTGGTACAAATCATTATGAAATAAAGACTGAACTTTAACTTATAACACTAGATATAGAATTGGGACTTACCCCAAATTTTCGGTTGACTCCATCAACCTTGTTCACGGAATGGACCCGTCTACTCTTGGAACGTGACGTCAGAGACACGTGACCGTAGTAGCGTGTCATACGTGCCAGATAACTTGTGTCGCCCCCCGTCTCTGTTCAGGGTAGGTCTGTGAGCTCTTATGTAGACTGCCTCTTTAACCCCTCTTGCAAAGAAGTCCGATTCAGAATCAAGGATTTTAACCCCTTTTAGAGATACTGAATGTCCCGGGGACTCAATGTTAATATGTTGTGAGACTTCTGAGTTTACAGAACTCGGACGTTGGTGTTCCAGGAATCTACATAAGAGCTCACAGACCTACCCTGAACAGAGACGGGGGGCGACACAAGTTATCTGGCACGTATGACCCGCTACTACGGTCACGTGTCTCTGACGTCACGTTCCAAGAGTAGACGGGTCCATTCCATGAACAAGGTTGATGGAGTCAACCGAAAATTTGGGGTAAGTTCCAATTCTATATCTAGTGTTGGAAGTTAAAGTTCAGTCTTTATTTCATACAATAAAATTGGTGTGGCCTAAGCTTAAGCTCGATGAATGTATACGCCGGATCAAACTTAGTACACAACTTTGTGACTTACACAACTAGTTCCAGTGACAAATCAGTACGTATACGTATACCAGAAATGACCAATCTAATATGAAAATATATACAGGACAGATATATAGGACAGATTTTATATTTTGGCTACTTCACTATAGATCATTACAATTGGTGAATTAGTTCATTACTCCGTGAAGGAGGTCAGGACCTCCGGACGGAGTGTTGTGAACGGCTGGTTTTTCGTGTTCGCAGTCAAAACACTGGGTTCTCTTTGTGTAATCGGCACGCAATTTTACACGCCGTCTGCGGGCATGCCCATGTTGATGCACGAATGTGTATTTTTGCCGTTGCTGCTTTCGTGGTCAATGTAATATTGCAGATGCACCCCTACAATTACGAGGCGAATTGGAATGGTCCAGAAAAACGCGTTGTTTGGAATAGCAGTGGGGGGTGGAACTTCATGCAGACGTGCGGAGGGTCGATAAGTGGTACCATAGATGTTCGCAGCCAAAACGCATTGTTCCGTACGTATCATTTCTGTGTAATTTAGCATGTGGTGTGCCATTATGCCCGTGGTGATGCACGTCTTTTCATTTTTACCCTAGCAGTTTTGATATTGGAGTAAATGCTTATTTTTTTAAACATCCCTACAATGTCGTTGAAATGGTTTTGCCCGGGTATCTGACCGGCGGCAGTAACACTCGCGCGTGCTGGCCGCAACTGTTGGACTTTGGCATGGCCAGTCGCGCTTAATAAGTAACAGGCACGGTAAGACGGTGGGGCTGTCTTTGTTACTAGTGACACGACCATGATAGATAATGATAGTCCGATCGTGAATGCAATGATTGTGTGTGTGTAATCAAAATGAACTTCGAACTTGAAGCACAGTATCTTTACACGCCCTGGGAGCAGTAATGGATTTGGGTCTTTTTATGTTTTATCATTGTGACGCGCCCTCATTGTATTAACCGTTGCCTTATGTCTGCACAGTAGGTCTGGCGTTGACGCTTGGGATTATTTTTGTTGCAAAATATAAAATTTCACGGAGGATTGTCGCCTATGGTTTCTTGTTATTTTTCCATATGAATGTAATAAACAGGTTACGTTTATTTCAAATTTGGCTGTTTATCTAGCTTTCATTATACTTTGCCCTTTACATGCAGCCATTTACAAATCAAATCAAATCAACTTTATTGCTCAACAACTGTAGCTGGTACAGTGTATGGCAAAGAAACAACAATGGTACATGCACAAACTAATACTAAAATATAATTCTAACGAGCTAGTTCATAATGATACTAAAGCTAATCTATTGTGTTTTCTCAGGAAGAGTATTATTACATTCTGTAATTCAGGGGATATATCAGCTATTTACAATATGGTGTTGCTTTTGTAGTGATTCAAATATGAATTTTCCAACGTACACTGACACGTTGCTTTATGAAATTAGAGCAAGATAGAATGAATCCTTGTAAAGAAAAGTGATTAAAAAGGTATCTAACCTGTACTGAGTAGATAGCTTTCGGTTAAGACTTCCCGGCAACAGTTCATAGATGCCGTCCAGAAGTTTGTTAAAGTCTGCAGACCGAATGCCACCCTTCACGGCTTCCTGTAAAACAGAAACGCATTCTGATCTAAACATGTGTTTCTATGCAAGTCACGTACACAGTTCAACTCGCTGACATTACCCTGTTGTAACAAACGGCTGTGCACGTGTGTGTGCATTTGTCGTATGCGTGCGCACGTGTGGTGTGTGTGTGTGCGCGCGCGCGTGTGTGTGTGTGTGCGTACGTGCGCGTGTGTGTGTGTGCGTGCGTGTGTGTTTGTGTGTGCGTGTTCATTTGTGTGTGTGCGTGTGTGTGCGTGTTCATTTGTGTGTGTGTGTGTGTGTGTGTGTGTGTTTGTGTGTGTGTGTGTGTGTGTTCATATGTGTGTGTGTGTGTGTGTGTGTGTGTGTGTGTGTGTGTGTTCTTGCGTGTATGTCTGTGTGGCGTGTGTGCAAACAGAGTGACATACGTGACAAAAATTAGTCTTGAAACAGTATATTATGTAGTTCACCTTTAGGAAACTCAATATTTTTTCCAGCGACAAATCGAGGTAGTTTACCATCTGTACGTGCGTCATTCCCAAGCCAAAATAAATTTAAAAAAAAACGAAATTGGCTTTCAATTCATCATACTTCTACGTATATCAGGTCAATGTTCTGTATGAACAATATGTGCAAGAAAAACAGTACTGATATACTGATAGGCACATGTACATGTAGCTAATAGCATTCTTAGACGTACATTTTTCGAGTGAATGAAAACCTGCGACTCGTCCAGCCCCTCCCACATCTCCCCTAGCTTACGAATGGTTTCATCTTTCACTTCTTGTCTCTCGTCTTTTTCCACCAGGTCCCACTTGTTGCAGACGAAGATGGCCTTCTTGGGGTCAAACTGTTCCAGCTCTGACCGGTCACCCTGGTCCCTACACTTCACCAGCAGACTTCCTAGCTGTACATGTTGTCAAACACAGTTCGGTGCATTAAATGCAAAGCCTAAGAATTTGTAGCCTGACAATAGAAGGTTTTAATAATTCCAGCTATCGTCAGTTATCTCCAAGCAATTATTGGGGAAGGGGGCATGGCAGTTTCTGACTGAGTCCAAGATCTTACCTCCAAAGATCTGCTTGTAAATCATACCATAAGGTCCCCATCATTGCTTAGCAATGATGGGGACCTTAGCTCTACATTAAAGCCCCAGCTCCCGTTTCATATAGGGACTTACGATTGATGATTGGTCCTGTAATCATATTGTTTTTCTCTGTTTCTTCTTCCATTGCAAACGCACAATGACCCGGACCAGACGTCTGTCACCATGGTAACTGGTGCTGTAGCAGACACCCTGTGGTGTTAGATTACATTGTGTTGCGAGTTGCAAGACAAAGTTGGATTGGTGTCACCTTAAATATGGATTTTAGTTCAGTAAGGATAAACACAGTTTGTTAGTCTACACCATGTGAAGGTAAACAATATACATGTACATTTGCTTTGCAGATGTTACCTTTCTAGTGTAGATACACATTTCCTACACATCTCAATGACAATACGCCAAAAAGCAGTTACTCAAGCAACTGGATATGATTTTGAAAACGTCAGACGTTTCAGGTAGCATTCACTAGCTTTCGTCAGTGAGTATTCACTAGCTTCAGTCACTGATGAAAGCTAGTGGATACTAGCTGAAACGTCTGACGTTTTCAAAATCATATCCAGTTGCTTGAGTATACTAGTAACTGCTTTTTGGCGTATCGTATTACCTGGATGTCTAACCTTCATCGACTCAATGACAATACTTTATGTTCTTTACTGCTACGAGGGTCTACTTCACTTTCACAGAACTGTTATGTCTTCGATGTAGTTCCAACCTTTATTTACTTTACACAAGTAGAGTCTTATAATTGATAGATCACAAACTTGTCTTGTTTATACTTATTTTTCTTTTACCCATTGTGTAATTATATATTTTGTCATTGTGTTTTACTCTCGTTTTATGTTTTTTAGTAGAAGGCGTCATTTAAGCAACTGTGCTTTTTGCACAGCATAAATATATGTGAATAAATTTCAAAGATTCCTACTTATACATATAACGTATCTTTTGTTGTGTCAATAAAGTTCAAATACTATTTTCTATATCTGCCCTAGTGGCTTACCCTGTCCTGCTGGACTCCGCCGGCCCTTGAGCTGTCAATGATGTAGATGAACGCAAAGGCTGATGGGATATATTTTGCTATGATGTCGTCCATCATCTCGCTCTCTCCAACTCCTGGGCTGTCGACGATAGTTACTCCTCCCTGGAGTATAGGATACAGAAAGGAGAAAGCTGTTGCCATGTGATTTCTAGGAATAGTTTATAACTTTTTAGAGGACTGTGATGTCATCCGTGGTTTTAGGGGTCACATACACGTACATACACGCATTCACACACACAGACACACACAACTACACACACATACACAAACATGCACACACGCACATACACACATACACGCGCGCGCGCGCGCGCACACACATATCGAAATACACATACATACACAAATACACACAAACACACACACACAAATATACACACAAACACAGACATACGCGCACACATACACACACACATACACACACGCACATACGCACATACACACGCACGCACACACACACACACGCACATACACACATATCGAAATACACATACACATACACATAAACATACACATAAACATACATACACACACACACATACATACAAACAAACAAACAAACACACACACACACACACACACACAAAGCCACACATGCACACAGAGATACACTTCGTAGCAACAATCATATTCACAGTCACCTTGAGAAAGGCAATTGGCCAGAAGATCTCAATTTTCGCTGCCGGAGGTAGGGTCTCCCTTTCTGTTCCCTTCAGATGGATGTGGCGAGTCAGCTGCTGCCGGCACTCTTCGGGGTCCTCACTCAGAGGTACTGTGATCATCTGTGACCCTGTGGCGGCGTCTGGTTCCCTGAGATGGACCAGTGCCTGTCTGGTCTCACCATACTTGACCTCACAGATGGTGGACGTGCTGCTCATGTGTGCTACAGGCAGGATGTCATCTCCCAGGAGCAGGTTCAGTAGGGTACTTTTCCAGCAGAAGTCTCTCCTGTCAAACATTAAAATAGATTACGATTCTTGTTGGCAAATGTGCAGATGTTGGCACATTGACGCACCAAATCCGTAGTGTGTTTTTGGCACACAGACCGATTAATTAGCCTGAGAGGCTCGGTGGGCGTCACTCCACCGTACAGGGAGGGAAGCGTGTAAAGTGCCTTTCCCAAGTCGCGATCGGGGCAAGTCCAACGCTCTAACCATTGCGCCATTGACGCCGACTGTCGCACATTACATTGGTGATAATGATGACTACATTATATATTGTGACAGTAGCAGTTACAATAACAGCAACATCACTGGTGCATGGTAAAACATTAACGTCACCAATGCTATCATTATAAATACCATTGCTATCATCGCGACCATTTCAAATATAGTATCCCTTGTATCGGCTTATCTCTTGTGCACTGTGTATTATTAATTGTTGTGCTTAATTTTGATATATGAAGCTTTGAACCATGCCCCAAAATATGTAACATTTACAAACAGAAGACTACAGAATCGGTGGTATTGATTTCCACAAATAGCAATTTTACACGAGGTTCTTTGAAATATTATTAATATAATGTTGAAAAGCACATCTCTACATTTTTCTCTGTTGTCGATATACTGGCTTACCTGCTACAAGTATTGGGCAGTCATCTTTGCTGAGGTGGTCTTCTACTTCGCTCAAGATGTCCATGACGTCTCGTTTAAAGTGCAGCGCGAGTTTTTCCCTCTCACTAGGGTCTAGGTTGGGCAAGTAGTCCGTGACGTCCTTGCATCGCTTCAGCAGGAGTTCCCGCTTGGCTTTGTAAGACGTCGCTATGTCCGCCATCTTCTCAGCAACCTCAACGATAGGACGCGAACTTGGTTATTCGGTATGCCGAACCAAGTCGCTATCGATAAATTCTGCACGCATATTATATACTGATATTTGTTAAGAGGGCCTGGTATATTACCTGCAATACGCAGTGTGAATAAAAAAAGTGTGAAAGGGGTTCATATTTGTTATGGATTAATAACCTGAAGAAATGTTGGATATGAAACTTCTCGTTCTTTCCGAGCATCAGATGAAATGATCACATCCCAAGGATAAAACTGGGCCTACGATCCCACACACTCACAAAGAAGTTCATTTGTCAAGCAACAAAACAACTGCCGCTTATACTAACATAACTTCATTTCTTATTATGTAATTACTGCTAATCCAAAACACTTTACAGGTGCAACTGCATGGGTAAAACCACTTGTATTTGCGGTGGTGTGCTTGTTGGTAGTAGCTTGCTGGCATAATGTATGGCGTAATGTTTAACGTATCTATCGGTGGCACGTCAATATCAATGTATCAAGAAGTCAGAAGGTTTGATTGGTACATAAATAATATACTATAGTGTATATGAGGGATATATATATCACCTTCCACGTACGCTGTAATGTGTCATTTGTGTACGCAAGCTTTCTGCGATTCAGGGAGTTTTTCCCTACTTTTTGGTGTCACGAATAAGGAAAGTATATTAATCCGAACGGTTGGAACCTGGTAACGTTAACCCTTCCAAGTTATTTTGTTCACTTACTCAGGCTTTACACTTGCTTGTAAATCTCTCTACTATTGAGTACTAACCTGTTCAGGACTGGTTGCTTTTTCTGCTTCTTCTTTCATCTGCTTGATCTTTTCTTTGAGGGCTGTTTTGGCCTCGGTCGGTTCCAGATCTTCTCCGTCCACGCCGAAGTCATCGAGGAGTCTGTAAACTTCCCTTGTCTTCATGGCGTCTATGTCTGCTTCTGTGATGTCTTTGGTCATACTGCAGTGTTATCTGTATCTGAATATGTGACGTGCAGATTCCATTCAGTTATAATTACCTTTGACAGACTGTTATGTTTTCGGAAGCGTTTGTGTGTATTTGTGTATGTATGAATGTGTGCGTATGTATTATACATATGTGTTTGTGTGGTAGGTAGGCACATAATTATGTATACGTAGGTGGGTCTTGATAAGACCCCGAAATGGTTGAATTTTTGCCTTTGGCTGCTTGTTGTGTTACTGCAGTGGAATTTACGATTTTGCGTGATCTGGACATGCTAGGGTCACGAATTCTGGAAGGTAGATAGCTCTTGAGCACGGAAAGAAGTGACGTTAGTTTATGTCACCTAGCATTTTGTTCAGGGACTGCAGGGACGTTTGTTTAAACATTCTCTAGTGCCGATTGTCGTGATTTTAGTACATTAAAAGTAGGTGATCATAAGGAAAGAGACGTTTGCATACATGTGTGTGATAGGTAGGCCCTGATTCGTTACTGATAGTAACCAATCAGTGAGGAACTATTGTTAGCATAGTTGAGCTTGGAAGTGACAATTGCTAGATGTAAATCAGTTCGTGACCCATGACTCAGGTACGTGTACATTTACATGTATATAATTGTAACTCTTTATAGATTTGTATATTGTATACGTACAACTTGTAGTATCTCATCTGCACTATGGTAACTCTCTCTGTAACTAAGTGTTAAACTCCCTGTGAACCATTAGACCATATAACAGTTGAGTAAACATATGGATCAATAAACACGGCTTCACAGAAGTAATCGGATTGTTTGTATCTCCGTTTATACATGTTGTAAGGCCACGCCGACTTAATTTTATGGATGACATTCTCTGAAGACCCCAAATTAGTGCGCGCGGGCGAATAATAAAAAAAAAAAAAAACTCTGGCCAAAAATTAAAATGCTACTAAATCACGGGAATACAAAGCTGTCATTGTGAAATTGAGACAGTACAAAGCGATGTATATGGCACTTGTTGACTTTTTGCGGAATTTATGAATCTCCACTGTACGATTGTACTAAGTTCTTGAGTCTTGGAGCTTCGGCATACCCTGGGTGCCATCCTCCAGAGTTACCACCGGCTCCGTATTGTCGCTAACTATCATGGACTACCCAAGCTTAGAGCCAGGCCAGGGCCTCGGAGGACGAGGAGAACAGGCGAAAATCAATGCGCGCGTGGATGTCATCCATAAAATTAAGTCGGTGTATATAGACGCCAATATACCAAACACCCCTACACCTAAATTCATTACACTATAATGTATTGCCCTTCCCATTATAAGGCTGGAAAAGATATAAAGGAGTAAATATCGCATCAATCTCTAACAATAGCTACAGTAAATCACCTCTCAAAAACATAGCACCAAGTCCAAACAGTACAGGGGTCATGCGCCACTTGATGTCAATAATGGTTGTATTGTCTATTGTTCAGTAGCGCAAAGGTCGCCATAGTGTACATAATTTACATGTATGGCTGCATGTTGGCTATATATAATCATAGCAATGATACTCTCGAAGAACATTGCAGATATGTACCGGTTTGAGATCCAAAGGATCGCTATATATATCGGTACGGTATGGAGAATTGAAGGCGAGTTTGCAAGTCTAACACTATGTGATGTAAAAGGAAGTAACCGAAACTAAGAAATTCTGACAGGCTAACTGTTGTTGGTTGGGTCATTTAAGTAACTTAAGGTAGAATTATAGGTGCACACGATTTTATACGTGCAGCATAGGGTGCGGTGCCTTGTCGTCGCACTTCTTAATTACGGGCGGTTTTTAAAAGTTTAGTTGTCAACGTACTGATCTAAATGCAGGTCTCAATATGGCGATCCTACGTTTGTACATAACGTGTAACGTACCTTTTTTTACCTGTTTATCTTTACCTGAAAAGTTGTCATGATTTCTGCAGGTAAACACAACGGTTTCCTCACCTTCTTCCGCTTCAAATTTTAGCTGACGTTCAGTACAGCAAACAGCAAGTTTCAGGCTTCTTGATTCCTATCTACCGTCGGAGGACAGTCCCCGAGTATCGCCCACCGTTCGCTAGTTTCGGTGGGATAGAGCTTAGCAACATGGCGGCTTGTAAGTGACCTTTGAACTTGGCCATCAGACGTGCACCTGACTTCTTCCCACTTGCAGGTGCATTGTGCAAACTTACTTACTATTTTACGACATTTTAGGGGCAAAATTTATGGAAGTCTGATATGGTATGCACGTTTGGGAAATACCCGCGTAAATTATACTAGACCACACCAAGTAATTTTTATGGATGACGACCCTAAATCTAATGCGAGAGCGCGAAAAAAAAAGAAGTGCCAAATAAAGCAAGATGCCTAGATTTGAAATGTACTAAGGGACGACAAATGTTAGAACACAGATTGAATGAGATATGATCTAGTGTAACAACCAACAAGTATTTTATTCGTCATGATAACAGCAGTTATCAGAGGAACAGCATTTGTCGTACGCGTCCTGTTCTGTTTCTTTCCTTTCATCACATCTTCCCTTATTCCACTGTCGTGAGTCATTAGCGACCAGCCCGCACCCACATGCTACGCCATTCGTCGCAGTCCCACCCACGCATGTACTTGGTGACTTGCTGGACGTTCTCGTATTCGGCATAGAACTGCGCCAAGTTATCATCAAAGCTCTGCCACGTCGGCTGCAGCATAAGCTCACACAGTCTGTCGTACACGTCGGCTGCCATCTGTCCGTCCAACTTTGGGAGCAAGTTCTCCGTCCATGCCTTCTTGACGTGGAACCAGCACAAGAGAAGGCGGCATTTGGTCTGAGTTCCATCTTCCCAGGACAAGGGGTCGTTCTGTACAGCCCGCTCAATCGCCCTCTTTTCAGTAAGAGATTTGTCAATAATGATGGCGTTCGGTCGTGTCGTCATTCTTTGCAGGACAGCTTCGAACCCGAGTCGGACCCCTGTCTCCTCATGGTTGGTCTTTACGTCATTTGACGTTATCAAGTAGAAGATTGGCAGTCCCTGGCGGTTTTGATTTGGCACTACTGCGCTGAAGACAGGTAAGCCGTAAGAATTCAGACCGAATGTGGAGTCTACCGTCCAGACGCTGTTTGGGCTGAAGCGTTCCGCCATCTGCCGTTGCCATTCTGTCTGGAGAACTAGGACAAATGGTCTCTTGTCGGGGTCTTCATTGTCAGGGTCGTATTCTTGAAAGAAAATACATACGCCCTGGTCTCGGAGACGCTGTGCCTTGGCGTAGGTGCCGACCCAGTCATCCTGATGTACCCTCTTGCTACAGCGTATTTCATACTGAAGCTGAGACAGTTCTTTCCTTGTCAGAGTTGTCCTCCAGCGGCCGTTGTTAATGTTTACAATAGACACGGACTGTTGCATGGACTGGAGCATGTTGGAGGTTTGCTGTGCCGTCATACCTACACCGAGACAGTCAGTGGCCATCTGTTTCACAGTCTCATGTACGGGTAGGTAGCAGCTGTCCTCCTCTGAGCCAGGGGTGTGGTTACAATGGTGTGGAAAGAGGCGAACTTGTAGTGGCTGGCTCTCTTCGTCCGGGGTAAAAATCTTCACGCGGAAGGAACATCCAACTGCACTGCTCTTTTTCCTTCGCCGTTTGCTCAGCCGTTTTCTTCTTGGGATGCCGGCCCTGTGGCACGCAAACGTCTTCATGGTGCCAAGTAGACTGACCTCTTTGTTGTCGCCAATACTAGTAGTCATACTGACCGTAGTCTTTTCCACCTTCATGACCTTCAGATGTACATTGTGAGTGTCCGATAGGTTTTCAATGTGTTGTTCTAAGGTGTCCCGGGATATGATGCTGTTTTGGTAGTCATGGCGAGTGACGGCACGAGGTCTCTTGTTGATCTGGATTCCTGCATCAGGATCTCTTGCAGAGATGTCCATCTCTTCGAAAAGATCGTAGGTTTCTGCTTCCGAATCCTCGCTGTTACTGTCACTCTGGTCTGGAAATCCCTCAAAGTCGTCCTGTTCGTCATCAGACACGGTCTCGACATTGTTGTTAGCGCCTGTGGTTGTCTGAGATGTTTGTGGTTCTTCCGCCGTCACGCCCACCTTGCAAGAACAAGTGTCCAGCTGATGTTGGAAGCTCTCTCTTGTGAGTCCAAACTTCTTGACGTTTGTTTGGTACACTGAAGATATCTGAAACAACGGTGGATCTTACTTCAAACAATATCCACTAATAAGTTTTAATTATAGCTTTAATTACAAAATTATTACCGAAGGCATGTACCGGGTTGAAGAAGTAAAGTAAAGCAATTGAGAACACACAACTACTGTCTTATCAATTTATATAATACTACTTCCTTTGCTATTGTGGGGTTTGGCTTCTTTTTTGAAGGTAGTGAATAATGTATAGTTCCACATTCTGCATAATAAGTAGGTTTTGTGATCTCAGTAGAACGTAGTTTTTTTTGTGTGGAATTCCAGATTGGAAAAGGATGGGGAAATTGAACTGTTTGAAATAATCTGTTTCTGTCGGTTTCACGGTAAATACACTGACTAATAAAATGTGTCGATTTTCTAATGCATTTGTTTGGGCAATATTCAGATACTACTAGTTGTATGATTTCTGTATGGCCTATCAGTTTGTAAACGGAAACTAATGACAACTCTGTTTTTACAGATGCGTGCTAGTTTTAAAAAAAAACTCTCCAAAATCGTGTTTGAAGTTCAGTTACTAAAAGAATCATTAGCACGTATTCCTCTCGAAAGTACTTTGTTACAATGATATTCTTAGGCTATGAATAAATTATCGTGCTTACACATGTTAGAAATACTAGTATCATGGAGGTAGTCTACCTCCATGCTAGTATTGAGAGTGAGCCGCGAACGACAGGAGTATTAGTGTTTTTGTATTACATGTAATGAAGCAAGGTAAAGTAAACTTCTCCGAACATCGCACAGTTATATTGGAAGTGGTTTTTGATATTGCATGAAGATGTCACAGATGAAATAGATCAAATGAAACCGATTGACCGGTGCTATGCACGGCGCGTAATTTACACCAACTACATTATGCATAACAAAAGGCAAAAGGAGGTCCTATTTTCATGAAAAGAACCTTATTGGGAACAGTAACAATACATACATTGCAATTTTTTGTGGCATTAACTGTCTGTACAGCACAGTTTTTATCTTTTTTTGTTGTTTCATATATTTCAAGTTCATTAAAGTGCGCAAAATACGTCACTATTCTCAACTGTGTATCAAGCCCTCGGACGAGACACTATTTAGGACACACTTTTGGACCGTTCTCCTGGCGAATACATATGAATGATTTCTGTTTTGAAAATGACAACAACATATATTAACAACAGAGTCCTCGCGTGGAAATTATGATAAAGCACACGTATACGCATATCGGTGACTACATGTACAAAACATTGGATCTATATTTCAAACATAATTATTGGTTTCAGAGAAGATTTTTGTCAAATAATCATAATTATCGAACAGAATGTCTTACACAACAAGTTTTTTTCTTACCGATTTCCAAGTTTCCCGCCATGATCTGTGAATCGAAAAAGCGACGCTGGCCGACTCTGGATCCGTTGTTAGGTGGCTCTCTCGGAAAATGCGTTCAAGATCTTCTCTCCGAGGAATTCGATGACTGGGTTCCTCACACTGCGCCACAAAATCCTCACTCAGGACGAGTTTGGACTTGATTTCCCTCCATTTTTGTACCCGGCCCGTCTTCGAGCGCTTGGTCTTGATAGGAAATGTTGGGTCTGCTTCGCAAATCTCTGTCTCGCTAGGATCCGTTCCGTCCCGTAGTGATCGCTCCATTAGCGCTAGTGCAGCGCCATTGAATGTGTAAAACTTCATTTCTACAGTCCCACTTAGATTCGTTCATCAAAGTAGATTTTACACACTGAAGTACTGAACTGAAGTGTAAACAAGCAAGTTAACTTGTGCAAAACGTGGCGCTTGGGTTGAGTTCATGGAATTTACATGAAACAAGGTGCTAATAGCCGACTCGCCGGCCGTCATTGGTTATAATAGCCGCGCTAGTCGGTGACCTGCCAGCAGCCCTCTGATTGGTCCCCGCTAGAAATCTACTGGATGTCATATAGTGTACACGGGGGGGGGGGGCAGGAGGATTGGAGGCCAAAATCAAAAAAATATGCGCGCGCGGACGTCGTCCATAAAACTTACTTGATGTGGCCCCACAAAGCAAAGAATATTAAGAATATCCCTGTCGTAGCCCATTTGGTGCGGAACTTGGACACTTTCCCCGACTTTAAGGACAAGGCAGCTGTACTGCTGTTATCCAACATAAGTTTAATGTTCTAGCAACAGTAATAAGAATTTCATGTCGTTGGGTTTATCAAATTGACAAGGTTTCCAATAGACGATGGTTTCGAACAACAGGTCAGTCATTTTCCAAGTGCACATTTAGATTATGTGCACCAGTCCTATACGCTACACCTTGTACCACACGCCGCACAAGACCTTCTCATGGCCCGTGTCGGTGTAGCTACCACTTTTACCAACTGTATCACATGTACCACACAAGAGGGCTGCCTTCCCATATCGTTATAAATAACGTTACCACTTCTACCGTAAAAGTTTATCCTTTTCGTGCTTAATGTGCTGACTTGCCTCGACCCTAATGAGACTATGTCTATGGAAGACTCGTCTGCCGATAAAGATCTAATGCCACTTTATTTGGTCTTTAGACGTAAGACTCTTGCCATGGCATGGAGGCCAAGTCGTGGAAATCAACAACATCCCCTCCACAGTTCCAATGCCTTCACAAAATCCCAAAATAGCTCTCGGAAATCTGAAACCTACAATATCTTGTTGACTTGTTCCCACTTGAAACAGTAAAAAAAAAGAAAATAACAATAAAAAAGATCATACAAGTAAATGCAAGGAGTGGAAGGGGCACTTTATTTGAAATGACAGGCTTACAAAAATGATATAACCTACTGCAATTATGATGATGATGAATTATTGTACAGATGGAGTTTGCAGTATTTTATACTTCCCAGCTTACTCGTGTTCTATATATTTATAGAAATTAACCTTCTTGCTCCTGAAGTAGCAGTTTGGCAACAGATTTGTATTAGTCACAGGTTAAGGTAGCAGGGAGAAGGTTAACAACTGCTGTGTATAATCCACCACAGGCGGTATAACAAATTATACACAAGGCTTCATTTTGAGTTAACAAACTTTATAAGACATCGTGTATTTGCAGGGAAGTAGTAGTGTCTATTAGGGCTGTTTACTGGTACATGTATACAGTACAGTAAAAATCTATTAGGTACAGGTCCAATATATCAAATCAATAAGTATCAGTACATACCCATATGACACAGAGGAGGTGGCATCTAGAAGGAGCAACTAATATGCAAGAGATCTTGCAAGTACAGATATTGTATGCAACAAGAAACAGTCCACATGGTTCTGTTTTGTTTGAATATGGCATAAGGCTGCCTATTTCTGTCCTGTTTTATCTGAATAAAGATTCTGTACGTCCAACCTACATGTATTGTTGTTTTAACTGTTAATATGGATGTTCTGAAGAACATAATTACAAGTATGTTAATTTGTCAAATTGTTCAGGTACTGGGTACCAGTCTAAACCATAATTTCCAAGCATATCTTTAATTAACCCGTCCTGCTGGCATTCCTGGCACAATATTTTTCGATAATTTCATGTCTTAATTAGATCATAGACCCGCAAATTTTTTTGCCCTGCAGTGGCATAGTTACTTCCGCATTCGTTGCGTTTCGCTGCAGTGTGATGCGTTGCACGAGAAATATCCCCAAATCGTACCTATACAGGGTGTAATATAGATGGTACTGTATGTGCCGCGCGACATATGTTGCGCACAGCAGGACAGGGGTTTAAGTGGTTGTGTCAGTACCAATTTTGTCCGGCAGTATTCATATGCCAGACAGTTACCATTTTGCCACCTGCGCGTAAAGAAAAGAAAGTTACTGTACAATAAGAAAGCCTGATAAAAACGCCAAAAATAATCTGAATCCTAAACCTCTGTACACTGCAGCTGTACCTGATGCCATGTATACATGTACATGTAGGTACACAGTCCTCTGTTAGAGTCCCACAATCATGTACATGTATGTTTCACATGTAATATATTGACAGTCTTCCTCATTAAGTAAGTCTATGCTACTTACTACAAAATTGAACCCTTTTCACAAGGCTTTATATCATGATCATACATGTACATTGTGTACCAAAACCACTCTACAAATCCGAATATAGTTTTATCAGGTTGGTAGAACATAGAATACTGAGATTTTTTTGTACATGGCCAGCAATGTCTCTTACCTTACCTTGTTTCCATTTTGTGGCGAAAAGCAACAATCAACAATCTGGGCTAACGAGAATCTTAATTCTGTCCTTCCACATTTTTTGTCAATTTTAACTACAAAATTCATGAAAAACAACTTGGAACTTTCTCCACATACGAGTGCATTTCAAAGACTATGTTTCCTGAGTTTTTGTTTGCTATAAACAGTCACTCTTAAAGTATACAGCTGACAAGGACCGTAACTGTTTTTAGCAGTGGTTACGATCAGTGTCCAGAGAGTTCTATGCTTAAGAAAACAACAATTTGTATTAACAAAACAATTGGCTACTCAGCTAAAATGAACATAAAGAGTCATAAAGTTTCAAAGAACTCCAAAGCTCCATGCTTCACGCGAACTGTACATAGAATAAAAACAAGAGCAACTAAAAACCGAACATGTGCATGTAGCTACATTGTATGTTCTTGATGATTGGAAACATCAAAACTACTGTAACTGTATCACATGTACATTGTACAAAAGTACCTTAAAAATTTGCACAGTTGTAGTTGTTTTTCAGTCTACAGTTCATTGAACAGAGGTCACAAAATGATTACTCTTCGTCAGACGTATCTACTTCTGTTTTGCTGTCGTCATCAGAATCATCTGAACTTTCTACATCAGACTTGTTATCATGGCCAGCTTTGCTCGTACTGCCAGTGTTATCCACTTTGGCGCTTTCCTTATCTGATACAGGAGCAGGGTTGTCACTGTCCTGATGGTTGGCATCAGGGTTCAAAGTGTCATCATCATCATCATTGTCCTGATGGTTGTCGGTGTTGCCATCAGTGTTCAAAGTGCCATCATCAATGTCATCATCATCATCATTGCCATCATCATCTGATTTGTCATTGTCCTGATGGTTCTCAGCAGTGTTGCCATCAGCATCCAAAGTGTCATCATCACTGTCATCATCATCATCCTCGTCATCTGTGAAGATGAAGGGCCCACTCTTGGCCGGTCTGGGTAAGGACGCTCTCTTCTCCTTAGTCTTCATCCACTCCTGCACCTTCTTCTTCAGATCCTCCTTCAAGTAGTCCAAGATTCCTGAAGAAATCGAACAACAAAACTTCATTCACTTTCAGACACTTCAACATAGTACTGGCAAACAGACTGAGAACATCCAACTGTGATTCAAGTCTTTGAAATCATACTTCAGATAGGAAACATTTCAACAGATTTCAGAAGCAACACCAATGATGATGAACACAGAACACCAATGCACACAACAAAACTTCATTCACTTTCAGACACTTCAACACAGTACTGGCAAACAGACTGCAACAAAGGAAAGACACTAGGTGACACTACCTCTAGCTTCCAATGTACACCAGAAGTGTTGTTTTTTTTGCTATTCTCTGATGAAATGAGAAAGATTATCTATTGCCATTTTCTTGTAAATTTTTTCTTACTAAACCATCGAGTGTGAGTCTGCAACAGAGGCTAGAATGAGACCTACAATTTTATAGCAATAGCAGGGCTCGAAATGCCACCTGCATATGCAGGTGATAAGGCAGGTAAAATTGAAGCTGTGCAGGTATTTCTGATGTCTACCTGCACCTAACCTGCACTGGTCCATGTACTGGGTATATGCAGGTTAGTGCAGGTAAAATTGGAGCCGTGCAGGTATTTCTGATGTCTACCTGCAACTAACCTGCACTGGTCCATGTACTGGGTATATGCAGGTTAGTGCAGGTAAAATTGGAGCTGTGCAGGTATTTCTGATGTCTACCTGCAACTAACCTGCACTGGTCCATGTACTGGGTATATGCAGGTTAGTGCAGGTAAAATTGGAGCTGTGCAGGTATTTCTGATGTCTACCTGCAACTAACCTGCACTGGTCCATGTACTGGGTATATGCAGGTTAGTGCAGGTAAAATTGGAGCTGTGCAGGTATTTCTGATGTCTACCTGCACCTAACCTGCACTGGTCCATGTACTGGGTATATGCAGGTTAGTGTAGGTAAAATTGGAGCTGTGCAGGTATTTCTGATGTCTACCTGAATTGGTCTGTGTACTGGGTTTAAACACACGCAGCTGCATGTGAATTTTTATCTGCTGCAGTTTTTTGCATGAATCATTTTAAACAGTGGTGCAGGTAAAATTTGTCTTGTGCAGGTAATTTCAAGTTGACAAAAGTATTTGGAGCCCTGGATAGATTTACATGTAAGGATTTCCCCACCATCCATGTCTTGTCTGTCACAGTCTGGGACTCTGAGCTTCAGTCTCCGAAACCGTCTCCTTGCCTGCGTATGGTGCTTCAACCTTGGGGAAAAACAGGAACAATTCAAGACAAAGGATTCAAGTCCAGAGGTTTAGGTTCAGTTCCAGACTTGTAAGTCCGGACCTAAACCCATGGCATATAAAAAATTACATGTTGGCAACCTTGCAATGTTGTCTGGGTGAAACTTTGGCCAAATAACATGGAGGCTGATACTTGATGATGCCCGATGGCAATGTTTTCTCCATTTGCAGCAAAGATTTTGCAATCTACAGAAGGTTTTAGGTGGTTTGGAAAGAAAAGGGGTATGTGAAATGGTCTTTTATGGTAATAAGTCCGGACTCGGTTCTTGACTTTTAGGTTTTTTTGGAGTTGAACCTAAACATTCTTACAAGTCCGGATCCAAGTCCAGTGAACCGGTATGCACCACTAGGCAGAAATTTGTGGACCCTTAAGGTCATGTTGATTTGATTATATGGATGATATCCTCTGGGAACCCCAAAACTGATGTGAAGTTGCCTTCGTTATGAAATCTAGGTGGTCATGAAGGTTGAACAATTTTTTTATTGGCATGGTGAATAGTAGACTCTTCATTTTGTCCTTTGGAATGGATTTTGGCATTCTGCGACATAAGTATTATTTTCCAATATTTCTTTTTTTTAGTTTACAGCATATATTTGCTCATTTTGCAGCTACCTTTCTTTTTTTGGGGGGGGGGGAACGGACAAAAATTCATGTCATCCATGTAATCAAATCAACATGCTCTAAGCATTTTTTAAAAACTTTAATAAACAAATAAGTTTGGAGCAACGTGATCGACCTACCAGTCCATGTTTTTGGCGATGTCTTGCCAGTCAATGTCATAATCAAATTCTGCTTCACTCTTGTAGATCCTGCAAAATAGAGAAATTGTAATATAACTAGAAAGGCCGACATTTGCTTGAGAGCAAATGCAACAGATGGCTTCACCACATCCCCCATACCGAAAATGGATCTATCCTACGATGGCTGCCAATAGTCTACACCCCCATGCAGCAATGGAACCTTCCAATGCCGGAAATAGCCAAAAAGCCCTATTTTACATAACTTTAAAGTGGTGTATGTCAAAATCATGAATGACATTCTTTGGACATGTGTCCAAGGTATCCCCACCCATACCAAATTTCAGGTCATTCGGATTTAATATTAGGGCACAGGAGCCAAAAATGTACATTTTTGGTCCGAAAATAGCAAAAAGCCTTATTTTTCCCAATTATAAAGTGGTGTATGTCAAAAGCTTGAATGACTTTTTGTAGACATATGTTCAAGGTATCCCCATACCAAAAAACCCAAATAAAACAATTTTTCAAAAAAATGAAAAAAAACGCGTCAGGGTATTTGCCCACTCTACCTTCATGCCAAATTTCGTGACATTTGGCCTGAAAATGGCAGAGATGAATCCATTTAAAGAAATGGCAGGAGGAGAAGGAGAAGAAACATGAGGGAACACAATATGTCTTCACCACTTTGTGGTGAAGCCATAATTGTAATAATATATATAATTCATTCCCCAAAAAATTAGCAGACTTAGAAATTGGAAAAAAGTCAACAACCCAAAAAGTGTTGAAACTTGATATTTTAAACATATCCCTGTAAATGGTTGATTATATTAATTTTATCATATTACTAGATTTCCGAGATCTCATACCTCCATGAAATATGATCTTGATATGTAAATGTAAATTTCTTCTTTAATTGTGCAAATGACCTCTGCATTAAAATGATATATGCATCGTGATGTATGTTAACTTTTGATTACTTAACTTACAGATGTCCCAAGTATGACATTCTCATCATTCACCATTACGAAATCATAGAATTTTCGCATTAATTATGCAAATTAGGTCATCATTTGCATAATTAGTATCTGTTGAAGTTCCGCCTGCCGTACTACGTAGGTTACATGTATTACATTACATGTATGTAAGTAGTATAATGTAAAACACTGTAATTATAGAATTTCCTCATTAATTATGCAAATAAAGTCCTCATTTGCATAATTTGCATTTAATTATGTACATCTCTCTCTCAGCTACCTACACATCAAAAATAATGAAAATATGTTGTTCCTGTCTGGACTTATTGGATTTTAAACATTTCGCCAGAAAGTGCCCTGCAGTTCCAGAACAAGCCGCTAGGGGGCCCAAACTCATATGACTTCTTCCCAAGCACGAGAGCTACCTTCGAATCAAAATTTCATGACCCCAGCATGTCCAGATCGCGAGATATCAAAACCGGAAGTTGCGCTGCAGTACCAAGGGAAGCCACTAGGGGGACCAAAATCTCATCATTTTCAGTTTTTGTCACACCCTACCAACACACCAAGTATGAAACCAATCCATCCAGGCCTTCTTGAGTTATCTTGTTGACCAACAGACAGACGGACAGATAAATGCAACTGAAAATATAACCTCCATGACACATTTCCTGGAGGTAAATATATCATATCATACAAACGTGCCCAAGTGACCACCTCCATATGCCAGCCATCTGGCGATAACGGTTGCTTTCTCTCGGCCCCAAATTTTCCTTACAGACATAAAACTTTCCTAGTAAGCAACCGCAAATGACACAATTTGGGACCACATATGGCCCAATCTCTGTCTATGACGACCACATTTTCAAGTGTGTGGCAGAAAATGTTGATGATATCTTGATGGAATTGATTTACACAGCATAACTTTTTTCTTGATCAGTTTTCTTGCTCTCTGTTTAGTCTTGTTGCCATCTTCCTTGTATAAGCAGACCACTTTTCTTAGGTCCCCTGGTTAGACATCCTAGTCAAGATCGTTGGAAACCTTAAGACAAAATAGATAACTTACTCATCTATGAGCTGTGCATCTCGCTCTGGGTTCCATATGGGTGATCCTTGTTGGAAAGACAGCCAGTTTATCAGAACCAACCTAGGGGGATAAAAATCATAAATATATAGTGTACAAGTATTGAGGTTAGTGTAGTCCTGTAGCTTTTTGAGGCCGTAGGGGCAGTGAGTTGTTGATCCACTGTGTCGAGGGCACAGTATTGGAAGGTGGAGCCCATCCCTCTCCTTCCGCTGCCTTTACCCCCCCCCCCGTAATGTTTATGCATTACATTATCTATCATTGCCATTTCTGTGAATTTCTTAAAACATCTACTGTTAGTTTGTGTAACATTACAGTGCTACAATCTGCGTAAAAAGTGGGCTTCATTGCGTGTTATACGCTAAGTCGTGATGGTATTGTTTTATTGTGCCGTTCTTCTACAAACAGCCAGCAGAATTATGAAGATACTCGTTCTCAATACACATGCTGCAAACTAAAGTAATGGCAGTCCTACGAAAATTCTCTTTGTAATGTATAAGCGCTTTATATCGACGTACAATGGTTGTGAAGTACGTGTTTTCGCACATCTTGTGCCACCGGATCAGTGGTAATTGGCTACTCTACAAGTGAAAGAACCGCGTCTGTGGAAAGAACCGCGTCTGTGGGCCTTGATAAATTATTCATAAGTCGGTCACTGTAGAAATTTACTGGACGGCATTCAGTGACGAGCACCCCCCTAACCAAAGTCAGGTACCCAATTTACACTTGGGTAGAGTGAGGAAAATCATGTAAACTGCCTTTCCCAAGGACACAATGTCTTGACTTAGGAATGCAAGGAATGGAATTGCTGACTTCACAGTTTTGTGTTTGTGTTCCTCATATTTTTTGGAGCTTTTTTTGCTACATTGTATATTTCCTAAGAAGCCAGCCTTGTGGAGGAACCTGGTCTTTCTGTTGGCCCAAGGAATATAAATGTTGTCAATGATGTGTTTCCTATTACAGTCTGGAAAAAAATATGATCGGAAGGTCGGGATAAATTTTTTTTTTATTTTACCCAGTGATACAACAAATACAGCTATTAATCTAGCACTAAAATGCATCAGTACACTCATATTCTAACAGCATATTCACTCCTAGATATAAATTAGTGGCTGAAACACAGTGCTTAATTTAATCTATTTTATTTCAGTCTAGTTTAGACTAGTTAAATTTAGAACAAAATGGGAATGTGACATGAGATTTTCATAAATACTATTTTTTGCCCTTTGCCAAATCGCTGAATTTCAGTTGTTTTATTTTTAACCCAAACGTTAGCTCTGGTTCTTGGTTCCAGTACCCACCACTGCAGAATGTATGTCGGATCAGAAATTTTATGTCTCTCATCAACAGTTGACCAAAAAAGGGCTATGGTCGGGAATTTTACCTAGGGTCGGGTAACACGACAGTAGAAAATTTCTTGTCTTTAAATCCATGAAGTACAATACCGGTAAATACTAGTAGTACTCTCCAAGCAGAGGTTTGGGTTGGGGTTATTTTTGCCATGTTTTTAGGCTTTTTTATCAGAGTTTCTCTTTTGCACTGGAATTTTTTTTCTCACCCAACCCAAACTCTGTAGTCGAAAGCTTAAATGTGCCATAAACCTAATCACTTCAACACATTACAGTCATTCTGCAAGGAGGTGTGAACCAGTCGCATGAATAGGCACAGTCAGCAGGAGGCGTGTGGCCCAATGAATGTCTTTCTGACTTGCTAGATGTGTGATAATCCACCACAGTAAAATGGATATCTCTTATGATAATTTGATGGTTCCCGGGGAGGAGCACTGTCACGTTTCTTGAATAGGTTTGCCCCGCCCCGGGGTGAGTGCCAGCAGAGGTTGGGTTTGGTGGGAGAAAAAAATTCCAGTGCAAAACAGGAACCCCGATAAAAAAGCCTAAAAACACGCCAAAAATAACCTCAAACCCAAACCTCTGCTTGGAATGTAGGTAAATAGAGAAATATCACTCACCAGTGCTCATAACACTGTTTAGCACCCCTGACAGTGTTCATCATATCGGAGCAGGCCTGCCAGTTGATGTTCTGAGTGATGTTAGAGATGTCCTCCTGCCCTGTGACAGCCTGTACTGCTCGGATCAGCATCTTGTTCTCTTTGGCCGACCACGCTCCCCTGTCTGGAGGTTAGCAAGTCAACTGTAGTCAGCTAGACTGGACGCAGAATCAAGACGACTTGGACCATTACCTACTCAGCCCATCGAAAATCTTTATGAAACAAGTTTAAGCTGTAATCTCCAACACAAGAAATTGGACTCTGGGATTAAAGAGGCTATCTACATCAGGGCATTACAGCCATCCCTCAACTGAGACGGGGGCGCCACAGACTTTCTGCAACCTATGATCCACTGCTCACGGAGTCACGTGTGGTCACATGACGTCACGGAAGCGGTGGATTGTTCATTCCTTAACAAAGACTGGAGTTGTACAGTCGAAAATTTGGGTGAGTCCAATTTCTTGTGTTGGAAATTACAGCTTAAACTTGTTTCATAATGATCTCTACCAACACTGATGAACTTTCAACATCGCAAATCTGGTCAACTCGGCCCAATGCCCTTGGTCAACTCAGCAAACTACATGTATCCTGGTCAACTCAGCCCCCCGGCTTGGTAAACTCGGCCTAACCACCAAATTAACACAAAATATTGCACAATAGCAACTTCATGACTCAAAGCTGCATCTATTTACCAAATGTCATTTCATAGCTGTATATTCCACGGACACTTCTTTCTCTGGAGTTAGGCGATTTCTACCCCAAACTCATATACTAGTATTGATGAACTAAAACGCTGGGGTCTGGTACTCAGGCTAGTAGTAGTACTAAGAATAATTTGAACGTGTTTCGCTTTCAAGACTTCAAACACCGAATTCGGATATTGGAATCGACGCAGTTACACCTTTTGTTTAGATACACCAAATTTTGGCACATTTCACATTGACATGTCTGCTTTCTTGGGTGGGTATGACATAAATAAAATACAACACTGTGTATCCGCATCACCCTCAGTCTCAGCCCTCCCGCGGGTCAGATCTCCCTCCAGCCTTCGGGCGATCCGACCCCCATTCGGGCTGGAACCTCAGGCAATACGGAATACACTCTCACTCACTCACTCACTCACTGCACGGCTTAAAGAGCAGGCTTGCACTATATAAGAACCCAATAAATTCGGCTAACGTAAACTACCAGGCCCCATTCTGTCCCTGACTACCGTGGTGGTAACATGGGCACAGGGCTCTTGAAGACACTTTGTGTTTGTAACATATTGAAGACAGATAAGGAATTTATGTACATGTACAGTCTGTTTTACAGAAAGAAGATAGCCTCACCTTACCCAGAATATAGTAATTACACCACTGTACTGTTTTGCCAAGGTTTGGTGGTGTTATAGATTGGCCGGCAGTTACTTGAACAGTTCTAACAGAGATCCAGTCTACATGTATACTAGTGCTGCTTTCTCATACTACCAAATTGACACCACAATTGCAACCCATATTTCTAGACTCACTTACTATCCAAGCTATTTCAGTTGTGAGGTTGCCATTTTAGATATCTATAATTAGAGGCTTTGATGAAATGTTGACAAGACAGTTTGAAAAATTGAAATTTGACCACAAAGTTGGTTTTCCAGAAACTAAAAGTTGCAGATAGTATTTTCTTGATTTATGTGACTCAGTTACAGCTATCCCGATCATTCTGCATGGTTTGATATTGTTAGTTTGAAAACCAGTATAGAAAAAACATTTGAATTTGTTCAAAAAGAGTGACAGTTATTATGCTAATCTGTCCCTGCCATTGTTTTCGGTGGCTGGACCGTCTAGGATGTTTATTAGTTTATGTGGTTATGGGGGTCAATTCACTATTCAACCTGCTGGAGAAGCCACAGTGGGGAGTACTTCCTTATTGCATCGCCCTGGGCACCGAATCCTCCAGTTTAACGTCCGTTGTTCCCCGTCATGCAAGGGTTGGACGTCGTGGGGTGTCGTTCGTCGTTTAGAATACACCGTGTAGTATTCTATATGTATCTGCTATTTTATAGTAATAAGTTTGAGTGTCTACTAGTAGTCAGTTCTTTCTACAATATTTCCATAAGGCCACACCAATTCAATTTGTTGGTTCTCAGATTTTTTCAGAAAAAATAGGAAGTGACAGGGCGAAAAAATAAAAACAGGTCTTACTTACTCTAGGCATCCTATCATAGCCACTAATATGTAGGATAGGAGCCATGAAGTCAACACAAAAGTCTGGGTTAATATTTAAACAATGATTTAACTTTTAATCAAACCACTGCATTGATAGATGGAAAAACTGTAACTAGGGAGAAAAGGACTGCTAGGGCAATATGAGCATTTTTGAGTTGATTCAGAACCAGAATCTTTTCTTTTTTTTGCAAATCAGAAAAAAATGAAGAGGCGAATACGAGAACCAACAAATTAAATTGGTGTGGCCTAATGTGTAATAAGTGGCGTACTTTTCCCTTTCCCTTTCATGTAAAGGAACCTCTGCTTGATGTGGTCCTCGAAGCGACCCATGGACCTGCTGATGCGTGCCCAGCGAGGGCCGTGCTGCTTGTACAGCCTCAGCAGCAGCTTATCCTCCTCTGGGGAGAACCTGAAATGGTCAAAGGAAAAGTCATCTCGATCCAGTTTCAGCTCACTTAACAGCTACAGTAACTCGTCCACTTGCTGTAACAAAGAAGACAGATGCTATGTACAGTATTTACAGGTATATTGTACCAGGGAAATTCCCCTGGCTCTTTACAAAAAGCACAATGAACAGTCGTAAGTACTTCAACCCTCTCCAACTCCCAACCTCTTAGTCCATGGGCAGGGTCGCTAACCACTGGACTACGCATGCTAGCTAAAAGGTCCTTCTTAAATAAGGTAGGGTGACACCCATACCCAGTTCGATAGCCCTTGGGTCACACAGTTGTGCACACATCGTAAAGTAAAGTAAAGTAGAACAGTCCTTACTTGCCACTTTTCTCCGGATTGCTGAACATATACCTGGCTTTGGTATAGACGTTCCATAGTGGCCGGTTCAGTCCCTGGGCTATAGGACATACAAAACATAATGTTACACTTTTTATGACTTGGACTTTTTAAAAAATCAAATAATGTTAGGCCACAATGTTGCACAGGTGAATAAAAAAATGACCTCCCCAGAGGCTTTAGCCTGGGTGCCATCCTCCATACTCCATGGTAGCTAGTGACAATATGGAGCCAGTGGTAACTACGGAGTATGGTACCCAGGCTGCCGAAGCTCCACAGAACTCAAGAACTCAGTACAGTGCCAACTTATAAATGCAGCAAAAGGCCAGCATGTGGTGAAAGTCGCAATATCATAAGTATATGTACTACATGTACCTCAAATTCACAATACTAACTTTGTATTCCTGTGGTTTAGCAGCATGTTTTTTACCTGCAATTTTTTTCATTTGCCCATTTGCATTAGTTTGGGGGTCTTCAGAGGATGTCATCCATAAAATTAAGCCTTACCTAGATGCCTGAGCATCCCTGACTCGTGGATGAGTTTCTTCAGGTTCTTTTTCTCCGGGTACTGATGCGGGAAGAGAAGAGTTCTGTTGTCCTCCACACCGTGCATCTGCCAAATCATGGACAAGGCAATTAGAGATGGCAGACTTCACCCCGTCAATTACCAATGCTGCTTCGCAACCCATTGTGAAATAGCAGTACTGAGGATCTGTGAAAAACACAGGTCATACATGTAGGTACACAAACCACAAACAAATTTCACACCCTTACATAAAATGCCGGCTTAAAAAAAGACCAACAAATTACTCAAAATAGTCAATAAGTCATGCATTCAAGTACTGGGGTAATCAACCAAGGATTTAGGTTTTTGCAAACTGTAGAACTATCCTAGAGTGGAATTATCAAACTCACTGCCACCAAGTACAGAGGGGGAATCCTCACTAGATAGCTGTAAACAATGTTTAGAGTTGCAAAATGTCTAAAAGCTAGGTGTAACAGGACTGAGATCATTCTATGTAATACAGCTAGCTGCCGCTGCTCCGCATGCCTGCAAGCTGGCGTGTTATGCCAAGGGGCAGTTATACATGTACCGGCTACACTGATATAGATACAAATCTAAAATGTATTTACCTCACAAAAGCTTTCCATGTTCTTCTTTAAAATGGCTTTCTCTTGTCTACTGAAGTGTCCAAATCTGACGGTCACTCCTGGAAAAAGATAAAATAACAACAATGAATGACATTTAACTTACTAGATGTAGAAATTTAACTGTGACAACGCAATCTCCAACTTTCAGAAAGTATTTAGTATACGTCCCTTGGATAGGATTACTCTCCAAGCAGAGGTCTGGGTTTGGGGTTATTTTTAGCATTGTTTTTAGGCCTTTTTATCGGGGTGTCTCTTTTGCACTGAATTTTTCCCACCAAAGAGAAACCCCAATAAAAAAGCCTAAAATAAAAACAACGCTAAAAATAACCCCAAACGCAAACCTCTGCTTGGAGAGTAGGATAGGATGTTTCATGGAGGTCCTGTGTTTGGGGAGAGCCACACCCCACGCATGTTTAAGAACCCACCACACCTTTCAAAAAGAGTAGGGGCATGCCCAAGGTGCGATGGTCCAAATTCTACAGTCCGAAGTTGGTGCTTCACTCAAATCATCGAGGCCCCGTCTCGTATATTTAAGTAAGCCTCAAGGATTCTACCCTTCATGGTAGTTGAAGAGACTCACTTGGCTATATCTTCAAACAAAACTAATTATTCCTGTTAATCACAATTTTTTTCCCAGTACTTTTATATTCGTGGTTTTCATGGTCACTTCTGTACTGTGAACTTATCATTCCCATAAACAACTAATTTGCCAGATTCCTTTTTGCCACACCTTCCATAACCGCAATTATATAGTTCCTCAAACGTGTCCATTTTTCTCATACCCCAGACTTCCACTACAACAAACATAAAGTGACTTACGGTAAATGAAATCATCTATTTTACCTTTTTCTTTGAGTTCTTGTACATCTTCAGCAGACAGTGCTTGTACACCCTTCAGCCATATGTCTTCTGCATCCCCAGTACTGCTGGTTTCTGCCCTCCTCTTACGAGATTCCCGAATCGCTCTTATTCGAGGTGACGATCTTGCTGGTCTTGTTGTCGAACTTGAAGGGATGGAATCTTCAAACTCCTCTCCACTACTGTCACTATCCTGGTCTTCATCCTCATTATCTGTTATGACCTGGTCCTGAGCTTCTTCTGGGCTTCCTTCCTCGTTTTCTTCTTCTACCGGGGTTTCTTTCTCCGTACTGTTCCGTTGCTTTCCCTTCCTTTCCAACTTTCTTCTCTTCTCAGCATGTTCTTTGTCCACTGAAGACTCTGCTTCTTCCAAAACGTCTTTCTTTGTTCTTTTTCTTCTGTCTGTGATATTGTTTTCAGCAGACCCGCTGGGAAGCTTACTGGTACTTGGAACTTCATCTACGGAGTCTTGTGATGTGTTTTCTTTGACTGTATCTCCTGTATTTTCATTAGACACATGTTGATCATGCGTAGTAGCATTGTTCCCAACATTCTGTTGTTCTCTGCTTTTTTGCTTGTTCTTTCTTGATAGTCTACTTTTCTTTTGTGGAGTGATAGCAACAGTGCTATTGTCGTGTGATTGGTAACTAAACAGATCGTCTTTTTCCTTCCTTTCTGCACTAGTTCCTCTTCCCTTCCCCACACTTGTGTCAAAGTTAGGCTGAGTGCTGGTTGTCCTGATCATACCTTGACTGGACTGTTTTGTACCTAAACTTGAGCTTTTGTTCTGTCCCCATCCGAACATGTCAAACACCTCGGACACTGCCTGTGACTCCTGGCCTGCATCCTCAATGCACCAGACAGGCAGTTTACTTGCAGAAGACTTTGGCTTGTCCTTAGAGGCATTTCCAGTTGTATTTGCCTTGTTATTCTCTATTGCATGTCTCCTGGGAACTGCCAGGGGGCTCTTTACAGGTGAGCCAACATCAGATTCTGGAACTTCGGATTCTGACTGAGAGGTGTATGCAGATTCTGTCCTCTTGTCTTTTGACTTTTTCTTCTTCTTACCAGCTGTGTTGGGATCATTTTGATTTTCAGAAGACACGTCACCATTCAGTGTTGTACCTTGTGAGTGTGGCACAATTTTCTCACCATTTCCCCCTGAACTCAAACCTGACTCTTCATTTTTCCTCTTCTGTTTCTTCTTCGATTTCTCAGGTTTTGGCGATTCCTGTGTTGGAGGTATGATATCACTGTCTTCAGCTGCTGAGGCCTGCCCTTCTAAAGTGTTTGATTCTGCATCTTTATCCTTCTTTTTCTTCTTCTTTTTGTGGTGCCTTTTTCCTTCATACTCTTCAACATTGTCATGATCAGCTTGACGTGTCGAAACGCTATCTGAAGTTTCTACTTTCTCCTTTTCCTTCTTCTTCTTGTGTCTCTTCTTGTCTTCACCTTCAACATTATCATCTCCAGACTGGACAGTAGGAACATTTGTGGCCTGCTCTTCTGCAGCACTTGATTCTACATCCTTGTCCTTTTCCTTCTTTTTCTTCTTCTTCTTGTGTCTTTTCTTGTCATCACCTTCAACATTACTATCTGCAGACTGGACAGTTGAAATATTTGTGGCTTGCTCTTCTGCAGCACTTGATTCTACATCTTTGTCCTTTTCCCTCTTTTTCTTCTTCTTCTTCGTGTGTCTTTTCTCATTGTCACTTCCCTCCTGTCCAGACTGGACAGTTGAAACACTTGCACCGGTGTCAGTATCAACTCCTGATGTTTCATCCGACGTCCCATCTTTCTCTCCATGCTTCTTCTTTTTCTTCTTTTTACCTGACTTGGGCACAAGACCACTACTGTACTTTGAAGGCGAAGACTTTACTGGGTCTAAAGGCTTCTTGAAAGTGTCCTCTTGGACCAACAGACCGTCAGCATCAAGGCGAATAGGAGGCTGACTCTCTTGGCTACTCTGGCTTTTTGGTATCCAAGGGAAGATTTCGCTTACTGATCTGTTTTCAGAGTTTGTTTGCAGACTATTCCTGGGTGCAATGCTCTTGTCTTCTTCCTCTGTTGCGGTACATGTACTACTATGTTTCTTTTCTTGACCACTTAGAGGGAAGTACTCCATCTGAGAGAGGGAAGTGATGCCGTGGTCCATACCTGTGCTGCTCTGACTCGACGTTCTCTCCCTTCTGTACTTCCTTCTCAGGAGAGTGCCAGAGGAGCCTTTTGAGGGAGACATTGGCAGACTGTCTGCTGTGACACTGCTGTTGCTTATACCTCCGTTAACATTTTTGCTTTGGCCTGAAAGAATTGGCGGTACGTCTTTGTTTTTCTTCTCTCTTGAAGTTGTTTTTCCCTCACCAGCCTTGTCAGATGTTTCAGCCAACGATTTCACCTGCAGGTTTTTCATTTGCTTCTTCTTGTACACTCTGCTCTTGTTCACTACAATGTCGTGACTGTCACGGGTGTAACCGCCATCGCCGCTTCCCACGTCCGAGGTGTCTGCCAGGCTTCCCTGGCTGTCCAGCCTCTTTCTCTTCTTACTTGGAGATGCCATGACAGCATCTATGGCTTCCAATATTTGTACGATACTGCAGGCTTTGTCTGTGTGTATTTATGGTATGTTTTATATTCTTGGGGTGTCTGAACGATGATCATGAAGTGCCATTGCTTCCCACAAATATAAGTGAAACTGAAAGGAAAAAGAAGCATATAGATATTGATAAGACAGTAAATGGTGAAGCCTTCTCATACAACATTTGCACTCACTGTATGGCCATGTTGACTTGATTATAGGGATGGCATCACCTGGGAACCCCAAAACTAATGCAAGTGAGCAAATAAAAAAAAAGGCTGGCAAAAAAGGTGCCTTCATTATGAAATCTACATGGTCATGAAGGTTGAACAAAATGGCTACTAGTAAACACACAGAGTATGGTATGGCAAATAATAGACTCATCATTTTCATTTCTTCGCATTTTCTCCCTTTCCTTAAAATGGTTCTACGAAATAAGTATTGTTTTTTTTTAATATTTGTTGTTTTCTTTTGCAATTTACGGCATATATTTGCTCATTCTGCAGCTGCTTTGTGCGATTTACAGAATGGCAAATAACTTTTTAAAGAAATAAATGCGCATGCAGGTGTCATCTTTATAATCAAATCAACCTGTACCCTGATACATGTAATAAGTAACCTTATAATACTTATATATGATACCAAGGAGGTTAAACCTCCTTGATGGTACCAACAAATCCTGCCCTTGTGCTATATATTATCGGCGTGGCTATTTACACTCCCGGAGTGTATATAAAAGACAAATAGATTTTATATACACTCCGAAATACTAGCCTCCTTTGTAGGCCCAAAACCTGGGTTTTTGTGAGTGTTTGAGGATTCAGGGGCACCAAGTTTAAACCTCGGTCTTCAAGTTTATCTTAATATATTGGATGATGAAAATCAGAAAACAACACGGAAATCTCCACCGAAGTTCGGTCGAGCGGACCGCCCCGCCCCGCTTGCGCGGGGCCCGGGACCCTCCGCTCCCGGCGGCGGCGGCGAGACCGGTCGCGCGCCCTGGCGTCCTCGCTACCTGGTTGATCCTGCCAGTAGTCATAGGCTTGTCTCAAAGTTTAAGCCATGCACGTGCAAGTTTAAACTGTCTCAGTGAAACTGCGAATGGCTCATTAAATCAGTTATGGTTCCTTTGATCGTCACATCCTACATGGATAACTGTGGTAATTCTAGAGCTAATACATGCGGAAGAAGCGCCGACCTCACGATCTGGCGTGCATTTATCAGACCAAGACCAACCCGGGGTTCGCCCCGGTCCCTTTGGTGACTCCGGATAACACAGCCGATCGCGCGGTCTTCGCACCGGCGACAGATCATTCGAATGCCCTATCAACTTTCCGGGAGTGTATATAAAAGACAAATAGATCTTATATACACACCGGGAGTGTATATAAAAGACAAATAGATTTTATATACACTCCCAGAGTGTATATAAAAGACAAATAGATTTTATATACACTCCTGGAGTGTATATAAAAGACAAATAGATTTTATATACACTCCGGGAGTGTATATAAAAGACAAATAGATTTTATATACACTCCGGGAGTGTATATAGCCACGTTCATATATTATTTATGTATTTTAAAAAAAGGTCACTAGTAATTTGAATTTGAAAAGGAATTCATTTGATTTAATAATGATTGCTTCTTTTGTTTTCGGGCAAAAAGTAAAATGTATCATTCTGTATAATACATGTACATTTAACGTTACCTTAGTCCTAGTCCCGCCAAAGCAAAGCATGGCCCCCTCCCCAAGGTTTGGAAACTAACCCACGCCACCACACACCACACTGTTCACAACTCTTTTCTTGGACTGTATCGTTAAAATTCCACCAAATAAGAAATGTTTATCTTCCTAGTTCTCTTTTATGCCCTTCTGTTTGGTTCGAGCTTACCTGTGAGGAAAGTTACAGCTGAATTTGTGAAGTTTTTACAGGTCCGAACTCGCCAAGCTACTGCAGGCAGACATTTTGGAATCAACCAATAGCCAAAGGAGGTACACTTTCTTTATACGTAGATTTGCGAGTAAAAATATCATGAATAATCTTATTCGTGAACATACACATATGACAAAAGTATTAAATATACATATATAGAATTTTTGACGTCTTAAAATTTGCTTTTGTTGGCCCGAATGAGTTACTGCTGTTCCAAGTTTACCTGTACTTCAAGTGGTATCGTCTACTTTCACTTTCCCTGGGACCAGAAGATGCCACTTTGAAAAGGGGGTAACTAAATAAGCATTGTACTTAAAATATAACCTGTTTCTAACTTTAAACGATAGTAATACGTTACAATAACTTAACAAACTAATTATTTGAATATTGTAGTGAATTTGTTTACTGTAGCATTGTTGAAAAGTTCAACGCTCTGTCTAAATAAAAATCTCCCCTCTCTTCATTATCATAGTCGTACAGTCCAAAAAGAAAATGGCGGTAAACAGATAGGGTTTGTTTTTCTCTCGTGTCTACTAGACTGTCTCTACGTTACTACATCACCATGCCACCTAAGCGTCCTCGGGGAATCTTGGGACTACCAAAGGACCCCAAAAACATGGTGCTGTTCTCATTTACTGGTGAGTCCTGGCCTTCTGATGATGATGCTAGCAGCGATTCTGACTACCTGCCTCCTGGAGAAGATGGACCAGGGAAAAGTAGCAAGAAAGAAAAAGGCGGGAAAAAGATCGACACAAACAGTGACGACGAGGATTATGTACCGCCTGGTACCTCCCAGAAAGGTAAAGTGGGTGGAAAACGAAGTAGAGAGGCTAGAAAAGGGGGGTAAGAAGGCAAAACAAGACTACCATACAGCAAACAAGGCCAGTACAAGACCTCAAAGAAACGTGAAGCGTATCCGCATATTTGCAGACTCAGATTCAGAGAGCAGCAGCACATCATCATCATCATCATCAGGCAGTTCAGATGAGGACCTAAGTGATCTTGCAGATGACAGAGAAGAAGTTGTAAAGAAGAAAAGAATGGTCAGGTCCAGAAGTGAACGCTCGCCAATCTTGAACATCGTCGAAAGCGAGCACGACTACATTTCGTCACCCGAAAAGGAAGAAAAGTCTCAAGAAGAAGTAGAATATAGTTCAGAAGTTGAAGACGAGGAAAAAGCATGTCTCAAACATGATCACGACTATACAGAATTAATAAGTGAGGAAGGCCCCAGCAATGTTGATAACATAGTGAGTGAAAATGAACCTATGCAAAGTGGTCGGGGCAAAACTATCAGTAAAAACGACACCAGTAATCAAAAGAAAGGAAAATCGTCACTGAAATCAACACTCCAAGAGAACAACACATTGTCAAGTGCCGCTGACAAGAAAAACAAAAAGACTGCGAAGAAACGTGTAAGATTTGAAGACATTCCAGAAGACAAGAAACCGATTGAAAGGAAGGGGAAGAGAGCAAAAAGTCGGATGGATGCTGGGAGCTCTGAGGAGGGTCAGCAGTGGGGTCAAAGGTTACCTGTGGAGGTCATTGTGAACATGCTGCAGTTTGCTGTGGCAGACCAGGGGGCAGTGCCGTTACTTTGTAGGTAAGTACATGTAAGGCCACGCTGATTTGATTCTATGGATGACATCTGCGTGCACACTGATTTTTGCCTGTTCTCGAAAAAAAATATCACCTCCTCTGAGGCTGACTGACCTGGGTGCCATCCTCTGTAGTCCATGGTAGCTCCTAGTATCAACAATATGGAGCCAGCGGTAACTACGGAGCATGACAGCCAGGCTGCTGAAGCTCTACAGAACTCAAGAACTCAGTACAGTGCCGACTCATACTGAGTCATAAATGCCGCGAAAGGCCAGCATATGTCGACTTGTCATAAAAGTCGCTATGTCCTACCACAAATTCACAATACATTGTACATATACCAGCTTTAGTGTGGTTTAGCAGCATTATTTTTGACTGGAATTTTTGGGGGGTCTTAAGTTTGGGGGTCAGACCCAGTCTTAAAAAGAGGATGACAGTCATCCATATAAAGTCAGTGTGGCAGAAGTAGTAGTGGCCCTGGTCACTATGTATCAGTATTATGTATAATTTTTGCAATGATAATACAATAATAATAATAGTGTTTTATAGTAATATCTCCTACTACATGTACTAGTATAATACGGTAGCCAACGTGTACCATTTCTGTATGTATGTATCAGTATCAGTATGTATAATATTTACAGTGTATTTTGAAATAATATTTCTTACTACAGGGTAGCCAAAGTTTGCCATTTCTGGTATGAGGCGACCAAACACCCCTCTTTATGGCGGCACGTGGACTTGTCCACGGGACACGTCCTGCCCAACGCGCGGTCAGACAAGACGCTGCAGTGGCTGGCAGAGAACAGGTTCTCACAACTCCGCAGCCTCAACCTCAGTCACTGGGTCTTCCTCACCAGGCAGGGCATTCAGGTAAGGCTTACTTACTTTACTTAGGCCACACAAATTTGATTTATTGGTTCTCGGATTTGGCTCTTCATTTTTTTTCTGATTTGCAAAAAAAAGATTCTGGTTTTGAATCAACTCAAAAATGCTTATATCTTGTCCCCAACCATTGAGGAAAGTCCTTTTTTTCCTAGTTGTTACAGTTTTTCCATCTCTCAATGCAGTGAATTGATTAAAAGTTGAAAATTCATTAATCCAGCCTTTTGTGTTGACTTCATGGCTCCTATTGTTGCATTCAGGGCTATAATAGGATGCCTAGACCTGTTTTCATTTTTATTTTTTTTCGCCCTTTCACTTCATATTTTTTCTGAAAAAATCCGAGAACAAACAAATTAAATTGGTGTGGCCTTACTGCCCTTTATGCCAGTCCCGGCATGTAGGGTAGTAACAAAGGTTCTCCAGTTCCCTCTGTCCTGGGCTGTTTTCTGGATGGTATCTCACTTGTTGCTGAAGCTCTTCAGTTCTTTTGCAACTGTTCTACGCCAAGTGATCTTAGGCCATCCTTGCTTTCTCTTCCCTTTAGGTGTCCAAAGTAGTGCTGTTCTTGTTTTTTCGTCTTTTCTCAGCACATGTCTTATCTATTTCTATCTCTTTGAACATGAAAATGCATGCATCATCATGGGCATGCCCGCAGACGACGTATAAAATTACATGCCGATTAAACAAAGGGAACCGTGTGTTTTACCTGCGAACACAAAAAACCAACTGCCCACAATACTCTGTCCAGAGGTCATTACCTCCTTCACAGAGTAAAAATCTATCTAATGATGATGCCCCTACTATTCTTGGTTCTGACAGTAAGTTCGAATTCCACTCTGCTATACTGTGAGTAGTTCTAGGAAAGAATGAGTTTTTGAACACCTCAGTCCTTGCTTGGTAACTCAACTTTTTGCCCTCCTGTGTGTTGTTGTAGCACCTTGCCTCCAGGTGTCCCACTCTGCAGCACATTAAGTTATTCAGATGTGGTAATCTGACAGCTGAAGGAGTCACAATGCTCGCTGACAGGTGCCCAAACCTTGTCAACTTTGACCTTTCTGGTGTTAAAGTAAGTACACTGTACAATGTACAATGTACATGATAGGAACAGACCAGAAAGGATCGTGTGGCATGGGAGAGGGGCTTGTTTTTTTCTGCTATCAGGTAGTTTTGGATAAGGACCAAACATATACAATGTACATCACATGTATATAGATACAGCCAACCAATTAATCAATCATCTGCAGGCATCAGTCGCTGATGCATGGCAGCTACAGACAACCACAAGATAATTCTCCAGCATTTTTGTACATGTACCAAGAGCTTGTGTTGTGGGGTCGTCACATGCCGTAACAGCGGAGTGTTGGCTCAGAACCAAGAGGTCCTGATGTCACCAATCTTCTGTATCTGTATCTGTATAGCCGGTATAACCGCCTTTCAGCGTAACACACCAGCTTCTGTATCTGTATAGCCGGTATAACCGCCCTTCGGCGTAACACACCAGCTTCTGTATCTGTATAGCCGGTATAACTGCCCTTCAGCGTAACACACCAGCTTCTGTATCTGTATAGCCGGTATAACTGCCTTTCAGCGTAACACACCATCTTCTGTATCTGTATAGCCGGTATAACTGCCCTTCAGCGTAACACACCAGCTTTGTGCCCCTTTCCTCACCTAACTCAGGTGAAAATGAGTACTGAAGTAACTGGCCCACCCAATAATAATGATTATGATAAATATCATCAAGAGCTACAAATAGTTCAGTGTAAGTCTTACTGCAAATCTAGAAAAAAATCAGAACCAGAACCCCAAATTTCACATATCGGTACCAGTTGAGGTGGCAAATTCTCAATGATTTTTGAAAAGTAAGGTGTCTATGGAATATATTTTGATACAATACCTGTTGCAGTGTCGTAGCTTTGACCTTGCTATCTGACCTTGTACTTTACCCCATATGGACCACATACTTTTCTACTTCTAATACTAAGGGGAGTGGTAGTTACATGTAATTCTGATTGACATTTGAACTTGTTGTCCATAGGCTGTAGCTGAAAGATGTCCCCAGTTGGAGTCAGTAGACTTGACCAAGTGTATTAAGATTGGCTCAGAAGGGGTGACAGCCCTGGCAGACAGATGTCACAAGCTCTGTAAAATTCAACTTTCCTCTGCAAAAGTAAGTATGGGACACTGTATGGGCTCTAGCAAGGCCACATCAATTTAATTTCTTGGTTAACGGCTTCGCCTGCTTCATTTTTTTCTGATTTCCAAAAAAAAATAAAAATCAGAATCAACTGCAAAATGCTCATATTTTGCCCTGAACAGTTAAAAACAGTCCTTTTCTTCCTAGTTGTTACAGCAACTGCTATTCCATCTTTCAATGCAATGGTATCATTAAAAGTTAAAAATTCATTGTTTAATTTAAATTTTGAACCAGCCTGGTGTGTTGACTTCATGGCTCCTATCGTACCATTTTGGGCCATAATATATATAGGATACCTAGGCCTGTTTTTATTTTTTTTTTGCCTGCCCGCTGTATTACTTTTCTAGAAAAACCCATTAACCAGGAAATTAGATTGGTGTGGCCCAAGCAAGAAATAATTTTCCGTCAGCCCAGGTTCATGATTGAACCTGGGGTGAGAGTGCTCACAATCTACAATAGGGGGGTCCGGGGACAAATTTTGCATTTACAAGCCATAAAAACACAATTTCCCACATTTTCAGAGACAAATCATGTGAGAGCGGTTGTGTGGACAGTTTGCCGGGGCGCTACGCTTCTTGGAGCATGCGGACTTGAGTGAGTGAGTGAGTGAGTGAGTGAGTGAGTGAGTGAGTGAGTGAGTGAGTGAGTGAGTGAGTGAGTGAGTGAGTGGTTGTTGGTGGTCCTTTGGATAATATTTCATCCCAAGATTTTTTGACAAATTTGTCCGTCGTTTTTTTTAATTTTTCCATTACACGGCACAAAAAAAATCTGCAATTGACGGAAAAATGTGTGCTGGCTAAAGTCCAGATGGGACATGCATGTACACTGTATATAAAACATGTGCTTTTATGGCATTCATACATATTACTAGATGCACATATACTCTCGGCTCTCTATTAAACGTACCGGTACGTTTATTTTTTTTCGCCTCAAAATCCACCCGGTACATTCTTATAAATTTTAGACGGTACGTTTATTTCTTTTTTCAAAATCGGAAAAGTTCCGGGAAAATTCATTCCATTGTCGGCACAAATTCCTGTGAATTGTCGATGAATTGTCGATCTCGCCATGACGCCACAAAGAAAACGTTGTCATTAGTAGAAAATCTGACACCCCGCTGGCGTTTCACAACAAAATTTTCAGATAAACAACTCCGACTATCTTTGTTTACATCGTGAAAGCTCCGATACAAAAACTCCCGCCGGCCGCCGCGAAGAAACCGCATGGTTGCGGTTTGACGCTAGTTTTCGGCAGCTCGGCGGAAAAATAAACCATCCCCAGAAGAAATGTTACGCATGAAAATGACAGCTACAAATTGTTTTCCTCGTTGCATGAGTTTTTGAGGCCGTAAAATGTTTAAAATGATTGAAATTTGCTCGAAAAAACGGCTCGAAAAGCCACGGCGAGAAAGACAAAATGGCCGACCTGCTTTTTACAATAACAGTGGTCAAAGGTCAAGATAGCATCCAAATGTATAAGACATGTACTAAGTACATATTACAGTGCTAAAACGATACTTTAAACGCATGAAAAATATTTTTTCGGCTACAACTGAAATAAAAATTCACTTATATTTTAATAAGAATAATTTTCAAACATTACTGAGAAATTTTCCGAATTTATTGGTTTCTTGTGTAATATTGTTGTTTCTATGTATGTGCGGTTGGATGCTGTGATGGTAAAGATCATTTACATTGGGAGAATCAGATGAGATATTAGAGATTATCACGCTTAGTACCCGAGTGTCTCTCAAAAATTGTTTTTGAGTGGAGTTTATAGACATGATCACTTTTTTATTTGTTCAGCTGTGTCAATATGTGATTTGTTTGGGAAATAGGATTTGGTTTAGTTTTTAATATATTAATGTCAGTAAGTACATCTTTGGAATAACTTGCTCCAAGTTCCAGGTAGTAAATACATGTACATTTTGTATCATGTATTTTTCACTTGTTGAACTTGTGGAAGCACCGTTGGCCCCCGGTTAGGGGTCATCCGGGGAACCTATGCCCAATTTTTTCAAAATTAAGGGTGCTAATAGAACTTTTTTTTTTAAATCTTGAACCTTTCTCCTGCCTTATACATCTGCAATTGTACAGAACATGTAGAACTGAAGTTGCAGGAAATGACCTCCATTTGTGTTTGGAAAAGACAAAATGCAATAGCTTCCCCCCATGGAGGGGGGGTTTCCAGACCACCCTCCTCCACCCTGTTCTGAATTTCTGGGGAGATCCCTGATATTTATAAAGTTTTGAAGATTTGTTTGGGGAATCATATTCAAGGGGGTATGTTTATTCAGGACCTGTCAATAATTGCAAGTGACAAGGTCATACAGACGCACATATATATATATACACCATGAGAACACATTTTTGGAGCATAGACGTTGCTTACATGTCAATTTTTAAATTTTCCGGGGGGTACTTTTATTCCAGGGGGTACTTTTATTAGATTTTGAAGATTTGTCCGGGGGGTACTTCTATTCCAGGGGGTACTTTTATTCGAGAGGTGAGAGTACCTCACCTTCAGGCATTTGTTTTCAATTTGAAATAAGAGCACATGTTCATGTGTATTTGTCATAGCTCAAACCCCGACATGTGCATGCTTTCTGGTCTGGTCCTGTAGTGAATATTTGTGAATTACAGAATGTTGATTTAAATTTCATTTTCAGTTTGCTTATTAACATTAACATTAATTTAATTCCTCATTAGCATCTGTTGTTATTTTACTGATTTCTGTTTTGAGACTTCATAATCTTATACATTTGCCTTCAAATACATGTATCTTGTAAATTTTAACCTTCTCTCTCCTTCTCAACCCCTTAACCAACAGAGAATTCATAGCCAAATGGCTACTTTAGTGTGCAAAAGGTTAACATTAACATCTACATTATCATGAAAGCTCATCTGTGTTGGTACTTACATATTTAAAGGTAAAACATTTGTTCCAACAAAAAGAAAACATAGTGTCTCTCATAGAGCTTTCGACCAGTCATTCTGGTCTTCTTCAATAGACTGACCCAGTGAAGACTTGTTACATGGCTTTTCTGAATTGTGACGTCAACACTGGGTCAAAGGTTTCCAGTAAACAATGTCAGCCCCCGTCCTGTTGAGTGAAGGTGTTGGAACAAAAGTTTTACCTTTTAAACACATAACATCTCCATTTTTGATACATGTATGTGTGCAATTGAGAAACATTTTGTAGTGGCTCAAACCTTTACTGTCACATGTTTCTGTTGTAGTCTCATATGGTGAGCCCGACCTGTGTGAAGTATGTTCTAGAGAAGACTGGCCCTAGACTGAAGGAACTCAACCTGTCCAGTAACAAACTCATGGGAGCTCCTGGTATCTTCAAGTGCATTGCTGTAAGTACATGTTAATGTACATGTAGTTTGCAGTTTGAATGAAAGCTCATCTGTGTTGGTAGAATCCATAGTTGTAGAGTTTGAGCTTAATTCCAATTAGTGCTGCATACCTAAACCCACATTTAGGTTCAGGTCCGGATTCAAGTCCAGAGGTTTAGATTCAGTTCCGGACTTGTAAGTCCAGACCTAAACCCATGGCATATACAAAATTGCATGTTGGCAACCTTGCAATGTTGTCTGGGTGAAACTTTGGCCACATAACATGGAGGCAGACACTTGACCGTGAACCGGTATGCAGCACTAATTCCAATACAACAAACAAAAAACTCACCATAAAGTTTTGGTCAATCTCGTCAACCTTTGTCAGATGTGTGATCCACTCGCTGACTCTAAGGAAGTCGGAAGCATGATGAGTTTTTAATTATTGTACATTGTGGTTTTGATTCAGTAGGATCACCACACAGAAAACAAATAAAATACATCACTGCATCAAAGTAAAGGCAAAACATTAAATCATATTTATCTGCCATCTATGTTCCAGCATGGCAACAGACATCTTTGTCCGTTTTGGCATGTTGACCACTGTCAGAGTTTCTAACTACAATTAACTTTTGCTATGCCTTAACTTAGTAACAAAGAAGGCACAAATGGTTCTGATACTGTTCCCGAAGACGTGCTTTATTCCAAAGTACACAAGGTGACAAACAAGAACATAAAATTTCTTGTTTTTTTCTTACCCAAACCAGGCAAAAAATTATGCACGCATTGTTTTTTTCATACCCAAATCAGGCAAAAAATAATGCATGCATTGATGTGATCCATAAAAATTACTTGCTATGGCAAACAAAATCAGGAAAAAATTTTCCTAAAAATGACTTGCTGTGGCCTTACGGTGTATTGTTGTTTACAGAGCTGCCCCCAGCTGGAGGTGTTAGACCTGAGTAACTGCCATTTCTCCTCCACCCCCCTGCTGCCCATCGAGGTTCTGCAGACAGGCTGTCCCCGGCTCAGGGTCCTCAGGCTGGCTGGAACTGACATCGCTGCTGGTAACGCTACCCTCGCTGTCCAGGTAAGGTCGTACTGTAACTGTATATTGTTAGTGTTGTAATGTAACACTGTCTTTAGGCCACACCAATTTAATTTCTTCGTTAACAGATTTTTCTAGAAAAATAATGGAGCAGGCGGGCGAAAAAAAAATAAAAACAGGCCTAGGCATCCTATTATGGTCCAAAATGGTATGATAGGAGCCATGAAGTCAACACACCAGGCTGGTTCAAAATTTAAACATTGAATTTTGAACTTTTAATGATATCATTACATTGAAAGATGGAATAACTGTAACAACTAGGAAGAAAAGGACTGTTTTCAACTGTTCAGGGCAAAATATGAGCATTTTGCAGTTGATTCTGAATTTTTTTATTTTTTTTGCAAATCAGAAAAAAATGAAGCGGGCAAATCCGTTAACTAAGAAATTAAATTGGTGGGACCTTAGATATTATTGTTTTCTTGCCATTGTTAGGCCACACCAAGTAAATTTTATGGATGACGTCCGCGCGCGCATTGATTTTGGCCTGTTCCTAGAAAAAAAAACAAGAAATTCCGCTGCCTGTAACTATGACCAAAGAGTCACGACAGCGCCGCAAATCGTTAGATTGACGTGAACCCCGTAACGCGAAAACAGGGCAGGACGACAACTGCAGTTCCACCTGATTTATTGCTGTTTTGATGATGAATAAAATACTTCTTGCTTGTTACACTGTTGTCACCTCATTCAATTTGTGTCCTAACATTTGTCGTCTCTTAGTATATTTCTGATCTAGGCCTCTTGTTTTTTAGGGCCCTTCTTGTTTTTTTTTCGCCCTCTCGCATTAGATTTAGGGTCTCCCAAGGACGTCATCCATAAAATTTACTTGGTGTGGCCTTACTTGAATTCTTGCTGGTTCTAGTCCCTCCCTCGAGCAGGGCCGACCACCTGTTAGAACATGTGTGAGCACACGTGCCAGCGTTGTGTTTGAACAGGTGATCTACAATGTATACCTGTTTGAGGGAAGGGGCTCTAGAACCGGCCCGTTAGAAGTTAAATAAAGTCAGTTGGTTTTGAGTTTTCGTTGTGATCAGATGTGAGTTTCTTACAGTACCAATTTGATTTGTTGGCTCTCTGATTTTTTCAGAAAAATAGGAAGCAACAGGCCTAGGAAAAAGTAGTAAAAACTAGGTATCCTAATATATTGCAACACGTTCAAATTATTGTAATGAACATTTGGGAGCCCGTGTGATAACCAAATAGAGCCCCAGGCCGTACCACAAGTTATCACATTGGCCTGAACACCTGTATTGAACGTTCTGTTGACCCCAGTCTGACAAAAACATATATACAATACTGTAATTTTTTTTTTTCGAATACTTCTATATTCACAGTTTTTGCAGTCACTTCTGTACCGCAAATTTATCATTACTGCAAACAAATAATTCGCATTCTTTCTTTTGCTGCACCTACCACCACCATGAACATAAACAATGTATATAGTTCCACAAACATGTCCATTTTTCTCAGACCGCAAAATTTTGCTACCACGAATATAAAGTGACTTACAATATGCAGCTTAACAGTTTGTATTTTGTGCCTCTTCAGGATCGTTCCCCAGGTTTCCCTGAGCTGCGTGAAGTCAGCCTGGCCAGTAACACCCTCCTCACATCAACCTCTGTCAACAACGACTTCATCTGTACTGTAGGTAAGACATGTTTTCTAAACAGGCCAGTAACACCCTCCTCACATCAACCTCTGTCAACAACGACTTCATCTGTAGGTAAGACATGTTTTCTATACAGGCCAGTAACACCCTCGTCACATCAACCTCAGTCAACAACGACTTTATCTGTAGGTAAGACATGTTTTCTATACAGGCCAGTAACACCCTCCTCACATCAACCTCTGTCAACAACGACTTCATCTGTAGGTAAGACATGTTTTTAAGCCTGGCCAGTAACACCCTCCTCACATCAACCTTTGTCAACAACGACTTTATCTGTAGGTAAGACATGTTTTCTATACAGGCCAGTAACACCCTCCTCACATCAACCTCTGTCAACAACGACTTCATCTGTAGGTAAGACATGTTTTTAAGCCTGGCCAGTAACACCCTCCTCACATCAACCTTTGTCAACAACGACTTCATCTGTAGGTAAGACATGTTTTCTAAACAGGCCAGTAACACCCTCCTCACATCAACCTCTGTCAACAACGACTTCATCTGTAGGTAAGACATGTTTTCTATACCTGGCCAGTAACACCCTCCTCACATCAACCTCTGTCAACAACGATCCAAACAGGACATGTTTTTAAGCCTGAGTAAAGTGAGGAAAGTCGTGTAAAGTACCTTTCCCAAGGGTATGACGTGAATTGGTGACATGACAGGATTCGAACCCGGGACCTCTTGGTCCTGAGCCTAACACTCTTCCATTATGCCACACGACCCCGCCTTCCAATACTGTGCTGTAGACACATTGGATTAACAACCAACCCACTATTCCCCTATGGCCTGAAAAAGACAGTGTGGGAGTACATGTACATTCAACATACGTTTATCTTTTAACCAACACACAACACCCTTGTTACGTTATCTGATCGACTTGTGTTGACCTTTTAACCTCTTGCACTTTTAACCTCTTGGTCACGTGACTGCTGTCAACAGTTGCAGAAGAAAGATTGTGGCTGTCATCTGAAAGATTCTATGTTTTTGCCTATTAAGTCGTGCATATCAGCCTAAATCCTTCTTTATGAAACATGCACCTTTCAATGTTCCCCAGGTTGTTGAAGACCTCGTACAAGCT